CATAAGGGCATTGATAATCTATTCCATGAATTCCTGCAAGAAAACTTTCCAAACCTAGAGAGACATTCAAAGATCCAGTCCCAAGAAATACAAAGGACCCCAAATAGAATCAACCCAAGTAGATCTTCTCCAAGACACATTATAGCCAGGTTGACTAAAACCACAGACAAAGACAAGATACTAAGACTGGCAAGAGAAAAACATCAAGTGACCTACAAAGGCCATCCCATCAAGCTAACAGCAGATCTCTCATTGGAAACAACGAGAGCAAGGAAAGAATGGGAAAATATATTCAAAGTGTTAAGAGAAAAGCAATTTCAGTCAAGAATATAGTACCTGGCAAGACTATCTTTCATGTGGGAAGAAAGCACAAGAACATTCTCAGATAAACGAAACCTGAAGGAATTTACCAGCACCAGACCAGATCTCCAAGAAGTTCTCAAGGGTGTGCTATACCAGGAAAATTAAATACAAATATACGGAAATAAGAGTTCAAAAACCAAGAAAGTGGCCAACTTAATTGTAGGGACAAGTATGGAGTTGAATATTATATCCCATAATTTAATCGTGAAAATTGAACCACAACAGAAGATAAAAGTACATGAGACTGATAGGTTCATGCACCTACCATTTGAACAGAATCCTAACCTGTTTCCTGGCTTTAAGTAACGTTCCTTAGCATTTCTTTGATTTAAGTTAAAACTGGTTTTCTTAATAGTACCAAGTGAACTTACTATTGAAAGTAGTTAGATTAAGAAATTGTGTGATTAATACAATGTGTGTGGGAAAGGAATGGGAGACAATTGTAGACACCAAAGATAGTGTGGGAAGAGGGTGGAAAAGGACAGAGGGTCAGAAAGAGGGGTAAAGAAAAAATTCTAGAAGCTAGAAATGGAAATTTTTTATAATAATATGCATGATTAAGTCACTATGCAGTGCATTCTGGATGGGAAATCACATTTTTTATGCTGTGATGATGCTTAGGGAAAGCATGTAAATTAAGTTAAAAAAAGTTTCAGAAAAATATCTATTCGATGACTGCAGTAAGATATATAGCCCCAGCTAGGTGCTACTTTATAGGATGCCTAAAGTTAGACTTGTGTTCATGGAAATGTATATATCTGCTATGTTTGCTATGAAAATATTTAGATTAATTAAGATCTTTAGTAATTCAATAAAATGTGGGGGGAAAACAGTATAGAAAGCAAACATAGATACCAGAGACAGTGTGGGAGGAGAGTGGGAGATGGCAGAGGGTAAGAGATAGGGAATCAAGGATGGGGAGGACCAGCAGTTAGCGTAATGGCTATGTCGCTGGACTCCCATGTAGTTGACCGTGGTTTGAGGCCCAGACTTGGTGGTTTA